AAAGTTGAATCTGGATCTGAACGATGCTTATTTGGAAAGCCCATGTTTTGTCATCAAGGACCTGATAACTTGTCTTACTTTCATGTCAGCTTTTCAAAACATTGGATTTACTCACAAACATTTAAGGATGACTACATGTGAATTTCCAAAGCTCTAATGGGGCTACATGTCATGATACAGGCTACCAGCTGTTGAAAGATCAACAGATAGAACAAGCAGCGTGGCATCAGTTCAAGGGCTTTTATTTGAAAAGATATATGGAGCAGTGAGAGCGCCAAATTACATAAATAAATCAATAAAATAATAATAAAATAAATGTGGAAATAAAAAGAAGAAGAAATGAAATTTTAAAAAAAATAATGTGGCAGTATAAAGCAATATTAATCAAAAATGAATCCATAAAAGGCTAACAAAAGTAGAAATATAAAGACAAATAAATAAAATAATGAAAATGCTAATATTGTTTTATTTATTTAAAATTTTCTTAAGTTTATTTAATATTTATTTTTTAATTTTTCTTTTAAAAAAATCATAATGTTGCAAAGGAAATATGTGCAGAAAAATGACCTTCCTACTGCGCACATTTCCTTTATATATAAATGTAAAATATCCAGTCTGTAACAAAATAAATATTTACAGCTATTTGGGGAATTGTTTTATGTAGAGTTCTAGAAACAGCACAACACCAACAGAGACAGTAGCACACATCAATTAAGAAAAAAAAGAGAAAAAAGCAGTAAACAAGGAAACAAACTGTTGGGAAGAACAGCTCTGCTGCCCTCACTACATGTTTGCGTACATAGCTATGCAGTGGCTAAACACTCTCCTATGAAGAACCCGAAACAGGAGCTGGCTTCAGGGGTTTTAATGGAAGCCGTGTGAAACTAAAAAGACAAAAAGACATAAAAAATAACTCACAGTATACAGCTGCTGTACAAATAACCCCCAAAATAATGCACCATGCATGTCAGCACAAACATGGACACCATAAATCAAATAAGGTTAACATTTTTTTGGCGCTGTTGTAACAGTGAACTTCAATGGTACCAACAAATAATATAAATATCCTGTACAATCAAATAAACTTAAAGAACCTACAGATTATGCTTCTTGCAGAGCAGTGTGAAACAGATGCATCCAGGTTGCAGGGCAGCTTCGAAATTAGAACCCAATGATGTTATTCAGCACCTGCGCTGTACACGAACAAGGCCAGTAGGTGGCACTTCGCTCCCTTAACCACATAATGAGTTACGCTCTAGGAGAAGCAGACCAACAGCAGCACGGTGTAATAATAGTACTAATAATGGTAATTATAATAACAGTAACTTAGTGTTCAATTATGTAAGGGATAATGCCCGACGAGGTGTCCATTATCAGAAATTAATGGACGACGCGGAGGCGTGAACCGTCCGACGCGAAGCGGAAGCAACCGTCCTCCGCTTCGCGTCGGACGGTTCNGAGAGGATTAAGGTGTGGCTAGATGATGGGTGGATGTTTGTACTGCCTACCAGTGCTCTGATCAGATGTAAACTCTGGCCTCCCTACCTGTCCTCTCTTCTTCACGTCGCCCATAATTCTCATCATACTCAGTCTAGTGAACACATCGAGCTCATCATCTCCAGTATTTCTACTATTTTTGGCCGTAGCTTCTTTCGCTTTGCAGCAGCTGGCATCTTACAAAACACTCTCACTCTTTGACTCCACTCACCACCTTCAAGCTACAAATCACACAGACTGTAGTCGACTGTTGCTCCTGCTGATCACTCCGGACTTTACTTCCATAAATAAATAAATACGCCTTTATTTTTCCCCCAGAGACTATGGATCTTGTATTTCCTTGATCTGCAAAATAAGGGTGTCAGTGATAAACTGATTAAGCAACCAATAAATCAGCAGCCATGTTAGCAGTTAAATCATTGTCTGAGTTACTGTTGGGCAAAATCATATTGAAATCTGACTTTCTTTGGTGTTGGATGGTTTTGGAATGAATCTCCTGCTCACATCTAACCCACCTCCTCCCCCACTGAGCGTCTGATCTGAATGACTGAAGGCTGCAGCCCTGGTTTGGCTCTTCAATGCAAATTAAACGAGCTGTGTGCTAAATCCGCCATGTTCATCAGCCTCATGTGGTTCTCTGAGCTGTAACTAGTGTGTTTAAAGTTTGATTAACTCTTGGATTCCTTCAGGTTTCTGCACTTTAAGCAGTGAACAATACAGCGTGCTGGATTATTGGCGCCAAGCTGCAGACGTCCGCAACAAAGCGCCACGAACTGCACATCAAAGCGACTGGCGCTTAACGTGAAACACGTCTCGTCAGCTTTATAATCATTTTGACGGTTTTCTGTCGATACAGAAATGAAAAACAAACTCTTTCGATCGACTCCCAGAGGAGGCTCTGCAGCTCGCCTCTCCGCCACCCGCCTCTAATAAACTATTTCCGGTCTTACCTCTTTAAAAAGATCGCGCTGAAAGATCGTCGGTAAAAAGTTAAAACAAGTCCTGGGAGCTCGGTGCCGTCTTTGTGAGATTAAAGCCGCTCTGCTCGTCCTGTCCGTCCTCTCCTGTCTGCAGACGGAAACCAAACTAGCGCCAAATCTCCTGCGCCTCCTCCTCCTCGATCAGCTGTGTTCCCGCCGCAGCGCTCTGATTGGTCGCAGGGGCAGCTTCCGCAACGCTCATTGGCTCAGAGCGCCCGGCACGGATGTTGCGTCGTTACGTTACGTTGTTGTGCCCCCCGTTGGCGGGAGTTTCAATAGAGCTGTTTTGGCGGAATGTAAATTTCCCGGGAACTGCAGGGTTTGTTTTGTGGCGTCATCGTTAACGCGGCGAAGCTTTTAATAATAATCCGGAAGTATTCACTTGACAAGGATTCATGACGCCACAGTTAAACGCATGAATGATGGCTGCTGGTTTTAAGACGTGTTGTGTCTGAGCTACAATCTGTCCGAGCAACATAACAGTACAATCCTCCATCAGAAGTGGATGTCCTGCATTAAGGATTCAACTTTATGTCAAAAACAGTATGTCAGATAGATCTATGATTGAAGTGCAACGTGCTCAGCTACAAAACAAATATATGTGCACCTTTAATCACCAAAATAAGTATAAAACACACACTACTATTAGTTTTAAAAAAAAAAACTCAATTTTTGGTTTTCCTTTATGGCCAATCTGTATCTAAGACTGAATTTTCTGCACACTGGGACCCAGTTTTTATTTTTTTAAAAGTTGAATCTGGATCTGAACGATGCTTATTTGGAAAGCCCATGTTTTGTCATCAAGGACCTGATAACTTGTCTTACTTTCATGTCAGCTTTTCAAAACATTGGATTTACTCACAAACATTTAAGGATGACTACATGTGAATTTCCAAAGCTCTAATGGGGCTACATGTCATGATACAGGCTACCAGCTGTTGAAAGATCAACAGATAGAACAAGCAGCGTGGCATCAGTTCAAGGGCTTTTATTTGAAAAGATATATGGAGCAGTGAGAGCGCCAAATTACATAAATAAATCAATAAAAGAATAATAAAATAAATGTGGAAATAAAAACAAGAAGAAATGAAATTTTTAAAAAAAATAATGTGGCAATATAAAGCAATATTAATCAAAAATGAATCCATAAAAGGCTAACATTGCCCATGGGCGATGAGCTGCAGGTTCTCTAGACAGCATTCTTTACTACAACAGCAGCTGTTTATATATTTATGTACACTTTACTTGAGCTCGCTAGGACAGTGTCGCGTGTGTTAGAACTATGCTTTATAGTTCTGTTGCACTTGTTGATTTAGGGGCACCACCTCAGTTTACTGAGGAGTTATTTTAAATGAAATGGTGGTGTGAACAGTCCTGTTTCTTGTTGCCATGGAGACTCCGCCCCCCATCCTGTGGTCCTGGAAGCTGATAAGGAGGGTTGTAAAAGCATGGCTGCATACAAGTGAAAGAATCTGTAGTGAGGTCTTCTCTTTTACTTATATTCTTCTTTATTTCGAACAAACAAACGATTGAAATAAATGGAAAAGAAAAATAAAAGCAAACTTCAATATAATACACATTTGACCCGTTCGAAAAGGGATAAGCCTAGGCTTGTCAAGTCCTACCCCCATTCTTCACCATTAAAAAAGTCAAAATCCTATACAATAAACTAAATAGGCAACACACACACACAAAAATACTCCAATCAAGCTATTTAAGGAAACAGAGCAAAACAAAAACACATAAGAAAATGAACAACCACCATTCACATCTGTACATGTTACATTTTCCTTCCTCATTTCTGTATTTATCAAAGATATATCTTTTGTTTCGTTAAGACCATTCCACAAAACCACCCCACAAATGGAAATACACATATTTTTTAAATTGGTTCGAGCATAATGCTGTTCCATGTTTAGTTTCCTTCTACAGTTGTAACCCCCCCACTCTGTCTTTGAACAGTTTATAGGTAGTTTATTTTTTGCTTTGTACATTATTTGTGCAGTCTTAAATTCTACCAGATCCCCAAACTTTAAGGTATGTCATTTTAAAAACTGTATATTAGTGTGTTCATAATATCCTGCATTGCGTACTATACAAATGGCTCTCTTTTGTATTGTGCGTAGTGATTGTAAGGTGGTTTTGTAGGTGTTGCCCCATACTTCCACACAGTAATTTAAATACGGTAACACCAGTGAACTATACAGAATATACAGTGCTCTCTCATTCATTTATTATATGTACACAGGCTAAATCACGGTTTTCCCAGTCTCTGTTTGGTGTGTTCATAACTGCATTGATCTCAATAAGAAGTCATTGGATCACCTATCCAAGAATCACATCTGTAGGTGGTATGAGGACCAAGATAACTTTCTACAGGGGGGAGCAGCAAGCAGGGAGAGGTGGGGAGCAAGGGGTGAGGACGGAAACTATCAGAGGCGTGGTCATGTTATTGCCAAAATGGCTCCATAGCGCCACCTTGAAAATTCCAGCAGTTTGTTTCCTTTGTTTCCTCGTTTACTGCTTTTTTCTTAACTGATGTGTGCTAAGTCTTTGTCGGTGTTGTGCCGTTTCTAGAACAAAAATTTCCCTGAGGTACCCCACCAAAGGGATCAATAAAGTTCTATCTAATCTAATCTATTTAAAATGCTTAGCTTTCCTTCCCCTTTATGTGCTATAGGGTGCTAAGTTTACTCCAGTATTGAAGTGCAGTCGCTTTTACGTATTCTGCACTCCTGCCATGTGGTTGACAATGAACCTGCACTGATCTCACCTCTTTGTGTGAATGTGGGTTGGCAAGAGACCAACCTTTGAGCTGTTTAAGCTCTCCAGTTTAAAATGGGAGATTAGAGCATCATAGTTAAACTAAGTAATTGACAATTAGTGACAAACAGGTCAGTCACATTTTTCTTCAACAACTGAAACCTTTTCCAGCAAAACTAAACATCTTTTTTTTTTTTTTTTTTAAATCAAAAATCTTTAAAAAACGCAATAAAATTAGAGCAGCTCTACATCAGATTCCTCAGTGGTGCACAGCCCCTTGTTTTGTAGATAGTAGAAAACAAACAAGCTATAGAACATTTTTTATATCTGTACAATGCCTTATGCGTATTGTATTTTTAATCTGGGTCACTTGTTTCTTCAGTTTTATTTAGTGTGTTGTTTATACTGAAATAAAAGTTTGAATACATGCATACAGTTTCTGTCTTATTAGTATGAAAATTAAGAGTGAAATTCACTGTGATGCTGGGGGGCGCCACCTAAAATCTTGCCAAATTGGTCAGGGCCGGCCCTATCTATCGTCAGAACCACCACCTGTGCCGACGCTGGGAATCCGCTGACGGCCTCCAGCACCGCGCTTCTGAGAGCTCCACTGCAGAGCTTGTTCATCTCTTTCTGCTTCTTGGGTCTTGAGAGTTTCCTTTTCAGAGGACTCTTCTTTATCCCTCCTTCTTCTGACTATATTAGAAAGCCCTGTGAAAACATGAAAACCAGAGACTCAGTTCATGCCGTTTAAGGAAGTTTGTGAACACTGCTCAGGTGTCTAACAGAATAATAAAATGACCAAAGTGATGACCTGTGCTCCACTAACTTGAATTACATGATGCCAAACTCTTCACATCCTTANGCAGCCAATCAGAATCGAGTATTCACCCAGACCATGGTATAAGTATTGTTTATCCCAATCTATGAAATGATCAACCACTGGCCCATAGGCGATGAGCTGCAGGTTCTCTAGACATTCTTTACTGAAACTCTGCTTCTAGCTCAAGTGCACATAAATATATTTGTTATTGACTGGAGGTTTTGTAGAACCAGAACAGTTGTGATCAAGACAGCCATTCTTTCATCCATTACACCTCTTGCTGTATGTTTCTTGGGCCGTTTGCTGCACCAGCGTTGTCGACGCTTTCATCTCGTTCTGCTCCTGGGGTCCTCAGAGTTTGCATTTCAAAGGTCTCTTCTTTATCCCTCCTTCTTCTGACTATATTAGAAAGCCCTGTGAAAACATGAAAACCAGAGACTCAGTTCATGCTGATTAAGGAAGTTTGTGAACACTGCTCAGGTGTCTAACAGAATAATAAAACGACCAAAGTGATGACCTGTGCTCCACTAACTTGAATTACATGATGCCAAACTCTTCACATCCTTAAATAAAACGGATTTTGCAAAGTAAAACTGAAATCCTATTGCAGAGCAGTGAGTGAGACAGAAGACGCATCGATGTGGGATTTACATCCTACAGATTTACCAGCTGCTCACAGGTTTAATCAGCATCGTGTGAACTTGTTCAACAAGAGCTTGAATGTTATAGATAGAAGTCCAACACAGCAGCTTCAAATAAAACTGTCCAAATGGTTTAAATGTCTGTTTGGTGAAACTACTCACAAGACATGGACAGACTTATTTGTAATAGATCACAAGTCAATACTCAGGAAATACTCAGTTTAAGTACACATCGGTCAACAACTGTCCCCAAGTGAACCATCGGAGTCAATGTACAACGTCAAAATCCAACATTTCATAATAATAAAGTCGTAACTTACAAGGCTTGATGACGTTCCACCGGAAAATGACCACGAGAACGAGAACGAGAACGAGAACAGCAAAAACAGCGATGGGAATGCCCATCATGTTGGGATGTTTAGTTGGTTCTGCATCTGAAGGAAAACCAAAGAACAATGAATTCAGTATGATGTTTATCATCTTAAAAAGGCCATTTTCACATTCCTCCCACAGTCAAATTATCGTGTATTAAAAACAGTGGACTATTGTGTATCAAAGCCATTTTTCTGGAGATCTCGTCAACAACATAAAATCAGCCTCACCTGGATTCGTTGTTCCTCCCGTGGAAGCCGTTGTCGTAATGAAAGCATCCGTCTTCTTCGGTGTGACTTCTCAAATGGAAAACACACAAGTATTGTTTCTAATTACATCTTATTTGGATTTTGTTCTTAATTTCCAGATAGACACTTTATTCATCTCCTGGGGAAACTCATGCATCTATTATGCAGCTTCAGATTCATTCAACATACTGAATACATTTACTAAAAACTGACAGTAAAGTCAATCACAGTATTAAATTCAGTGCACTCACCAACAATGGTAAAATTAAAGGTGATGTTCTGCTTTCTTATAAAGCATTTGTATCGTCCACTGTCACTGGAGTGTGCTGGGAAGATCTCAAGAGTCACGATCCCTTTGCGCAGGTCTTCAAGAACCAGACGTGTTCTGTTTCTGTACTGCTCCATCGGTGGTTGAGGATGTTCCTGTCCAAGCCGACGGCTGTAGATGTAACTGTTGAGGTCACTGAAGTTGCCATCGAGTCTCTTACAAGTCAGCGTGTCATTCTCCAAGTTGGTGGGGGGATTGGTTCTATACTGAAGAGGAGCTTTACCGCCTTCCTGTGCTTCGATTGGCTGAGCGGCTTCATGTTTTTCTGCTGAAACAAACCATAAAACCATGAATATTTGAACGCTTCTAAACTGTAATGACATCAGGTGGGCTTGTTTGGTCTGAGGGTGTGAGACAAGACAACAGGCCTCCATCATGGAGCAGGCTACACCTGGATCTGTTCAGGTGAAGTGGTGTCACTGAGTTTAGCTTCCTGGTTGACTGGAACCACAACAGCTGGCTCTTTAAACTGTGGGTTTCACAACCAACTCAGAGGTTGTTCATCACATCCAGTGAGGTTAAAACTGTTTTATATAATCACACTATTTGAGGAGTATAAAAGCCATACAAACTGTAAACAATGTGCCATTTCATCACTTGACTTTTTTCAAATACAAAAAAAGGCTAAAAGATATACAATCTGACCATAAAATAACCTAAAAATATAAGTAAACACAAATAAGGACAGAAGAATGTGCACAAGGCACATATTAAGACTTTGGTTCCGAACCGGATTTGTATGTAGAAAACACGTGCAGTGAAAACTGTGCAAATCACGCAATATGAAATTACTGACAGTGCAGTAAACAGTGCAGGCACCGACTGAGCACGATCCCAGGATAATGTTTTTGATGATGAGGATTTATTAAGACACCAGGAGGTAGAAAAAAATGGAAGTGACTCATGGACGTGGACGGACTGTGGCAGGAGGGAGTTTAGCTTCGGGGCTAGCCTCGGCTCACCTGTGGCACTCTCACTGCAGGTGTACTGTCTCTACACCTTCTAACAATGATCTTAGAGCAACACTAGTGAAATGTGTTCAGGAAGCAAAAAGCAGAATCGAGATGAAGCTTTCTGAACAATTCCTTCCGAACTAGAACCGGTTCGGACTCGCCTAAACCTACGTTCTCCGCTACTCACTTTCTATGAAAAAACTACGTGACATTAAGTAAACNCTCTTCTTTATCCCTCCTTCTTCTGACTATATTAGAAAGCCCTGTGAAAACATGAAAACCAGAGACTCAGTTCATGCCGTTTAAGGAAGTTTGTGAACACTGCTCAGGTGTCTAACAGAATAATAAAATGACCAAAGTGATGACCTGTGCTCCACTAACTTGAATTACATGATGCCAAACTCTTCACATCCTTAAATAAAATTGATTTTGCAAAGTAAAACTGAAATCCTATTGCAGAGCAGTGAGTGAGACAGAAGACGCATCGATGTGGGATTTACATCCTACAGATTTACCAGCTGCTCACAGGTTTAATCAGCATCGTGTGAACTTGTTCAACAAGAGCTTGAATGTTATAGATAGAAGTCCAACACAGCAGCTTCAAATAAAACTGTCCAAATGGTTTAAATGTCTGTTTGGTGAAACTACTCACAAGACACGGAAAGACTTATTGTAATAGATCACAAGTCAATACTCAGGAAATACTCAGTTTAAGTACACATCGGTCAACAACTGTCCCCAAGTGAACCATCTGTGTCAATGTACAACGTCAAAATCCAACATTTCATAATAATAAAGTCGTAACTTACAAGGCTTGATGACGTTCCACCGGAAAATGACCACGAGAACGAGACCGAGACCAAGAACAATGGGAATGACGATGCCCCACACGTTGGGATGTTTAGTTGGTTCTGCATCTGAAGGAAAACCAAAGAACACTGAATTCAGTATGATGTTTATCATCTTAAAAAGACCATTTTCACATTCCTCCCACAGTCAAATGATCTTGTATATATAAAAAAATAAAAAGAAATAAATAAAATGGTACAGTCGTGACTCGATAATCAGACACTAAATGCAAAACCTTCTTTTATGTCGGATAGCAAGGCTGTCGGATTGTCAAGATGGAGGTCGAGATACAAGGAGGGCTTGATGCTGGAAGGCTCATTAGTTGTTAATATTTATTGTTCATAGTTGTTATAATAACTAGTGTATTGTTAGAACACTACACATCACTGGATTTCAGCCTAACTGACCGGTGCACTTGTGCACGTTCCAACCAATTCCACCCCGTCGGAGCGCACCCCCGGGGTGGAAGTGTCCAGAACACACAGGCAGTACTTGGCTGCTGATGCTAGTTTAGTTAGCGCTCACACTTCTGTTTCCTCCATCGGTGGCGGCGGGGGAGTGGCAGATACGCTCCACCGTTACCATCCATGTTTACTTCCATAAACACTGAGCGCGCTCGCTGTGTGTGACGTCGTCGTGTCCTCTTCTGCGCATGCTGGACACTTTTGGGTCGTATGAAGTTCACACAGCAGATCACATACAAGTCGCATTGAACTGGAAACGTGAAGGAACTCACAAAGAAATCGGATTTCACAAAAAAAAAATCCTCATTGAGCATCAAGTCCTGCAGTGTGAACGTAGCCAATCTGTGGGATTGTTCAGTCAGATAATACGCCGTCATCCTGATTGGTGACATTAAATGTCATGTCGGAGTCAGAATCCAAGGCTGTCGCTATGTTAAGGCTGTTTTTATGGGTTCTGTTGGTTTTTCCTAAAAACCTGTCAGATAGCAAGGTTTAGGATTGGTAAGGGTCAGATTATCGAGTCATGACTGTATATTGTGTATTAAAGCCATTGTTCTAGAGATCTCGTCAAAAACATAAAACCAGCCTCACCTGGATTCGTCTTTATTCCCGCTGAAGCTGTCTTCTTCTTCGATGTGACTTTTCAAATGGAAAACACACAAGTATTGTTTCTAATTACATCTTATTTGGATTTTGTTCTTAATTTCCAGATAGACACTTTATTCATCTCCTGGGGAAACTCATGCATCTATTATGCAGCTTCAGATTCATTCAACATACTGAATACATTTACTAAAAACTGACAGTAAAGTCAATCACAGTATTAAATTCAGTGCACTCACCAACAATGGTAAAATTAAAGGTGATGTTCTGCTTTCTTATAAAGCATTTGTATCGTCCACTGTCACTGGAGTGTACTGGGAAGATCTCAAGAGTCACGATCCCTTTGCGCAGGTCTTCAAGAACCAGACGTGTTCTGTTTCTGTACTGCTCCATCGGTGGTTGAGGATGTTCCTGTCCAAGCCGACGGCTGTAGATGTAACTGTTGAGGTCACTGAAGTTGCCATCGAGTCTCTTACAAGTCAGCGTGTCATTCTCCAAGTTGGTGGGGGGATTGGTTCTATACTGAAGAGGAGCTTTACCGCCTTCCTGTGCTTCGATTGGCTGAGTGGCTTCATGTTTTTCTGCTGAAACAAACCATAAAACCATGAATATTTGAACGCTTCTAAACTGTAATGACATCAGGTGGGCTTGTTTGGTCTGAGGGTGTGAGACAAGACAACAGGCCTCCATCATGGAGCAGGCTACACTTCACCTGGATCTGTTCAGGTGAAGTGGTGTCACTGAGTTTAGCTTCCTGGTTGACTGGAACCACAACAGCTGGCTCTTTAAACTGTGGGTTTCACAACCAACTCAGAGGTTGTTCATCACATCCAGTGAGGTTAAAACTGTTTTATATAATCACACTATTTGAGGAGTATAAAAGCCATACAAACTGTAAACAATGTGCCATTTCATCACTTGACTTTTTTCAAATACAAAAAAAGGCTAAAAGATATACAATCTGACCATAAAATAAGCTAAAAATATAAGTAAACACAAATAAGGACAGAAGAATGTGCATAACGCACATATTAAGACTTTGGTTCCGAACCGGATTTGTATGTAGAAAACACGTGCAGTGAAAACTGTGCAAATCACGCAATATGAAATTACTGACAGTGCAGTAAACAGTGCAGGCACCGACTGAGCACGATCCCAGGATAATGTTTTTGATGATGAGGATTTATTAAGACACCAGGAGGTAGAAAAAAATGGAAGTGACTCATGGACGTGGACGGACTGTGGCAGGAGGGAGTTTAGCTTCGGGGCTAGCCTCGGCTCACCTGTGGCACTCTCACTGCAGGTGTACTGTCTCTACACCTTCTAACAATGATCTTAGAGCAACACTAGTGAAATGTGTTCAGGAAGCAAAAAGCAGAATCGAGATGAAGCTTTCAATTCCTTCCGAACTAGAACCGGTTCGGACTCGCCTAAACCTACGTTCTCCGCTACTCACTTTCTATGAAAAAACTACGTGACATTAAGTAAACTTACCGGCGATGACCGACGACAAAACAATCAGTAAAGTTATCAACGCGACTTTCATCGTCACTCCGAGCCGCTGAGCAGAAGAGACGGAGGTCTCACAACGTTTTGCGGCTACTCCGTCCTGATGTG